ATCATGCTTAGCGATCAAGGCGGTGGTGCCAACAGTGCTCTGAGCGTCGGTGATATTGAGATCGATCTACTCCAATTGGACTTTGTGTACACTACCTATCGCATGGAACCCAATCTCACCGATCGTGTACGCCTTCCCAAACAACTCTATTTCCACACGTGGTGCCCTCGTCTCATACAAAAGAGCATTTCAGATGATGCTGGTACACTGGAACTGCTTCACAATGCGGACATTCCACGCAGGATGATCCTGTTCTTCACAGATTTGACTCATGGTACACAGCCAGCATTGGCTGGAGGTGAAGCATCGCATTCTTCGAACAGACTGGCCATGATTCATGCAAATCTCAGTCAACTTCGTGTCACTGTCAACGACCAGACGCTCTTTGACAACCCGCTCAAGTTCCAGTGTGATGTGAGTCGTAATACTGAAGGGCAATACTTCTACGATTACAACAAATCCTCCTACCTGCGTGGCTACAATCTGGTTCAAGACTTTTTCGGCAAGACGTATGGAACGCAAATCCCCATCACCGCTGCAGATTACTGCAATCACTACTTTATGGTGCCTATCAACTTGAATCTGGATCGGACCACAGACAATCCAAGATCCAGAGGAAATCTGTCCATCGACTATCAATTTAGCGACGTGACAAACGCCCCCGTGAGGAGACCTAGCGAAAATGGCGCCTCGATCAAAGTCAACCTTCTCTGCATGGACAAGTACTTGTACACCATGAGCAAAGATGAAGGTATCAAAGCCGAAGTTGTATGAATTAATTCCGACCTAGTAGTAAAAGGGCATCATGGAAGGTGGTGACCTGGAGACCAGACATCGTGTCTACGGTGGTGATTTGAAAACATCGAGTCGACAACACGGTGGATTCTTCTGGAAAAAGAGCTTCTGGAAAAACCTAATCGGTGCTGGACCGGATGAGATGGAAAAGCAGATGGCGGAACCCACGACAAAACAAGATGCAATGCAACGCGGTGGACTTGGACCCCTGGCTGCCATGGCAGGAATGACACTTCTTCCCATGCTTTTGGGGAGAGGAGAGTCCGGAGACATTGTGGAAACGCAAATGAAAACAGCTTACAACCCTGCCATGCACCGAGGAGGTCTAGCCATTCCACCAGGATTAGCCGCCAAGGCCATACCACTCCTGACGAATCTGGCTGCTCCCTTGGCCATGGGTACCATGGCATCACTGGGTGACAACGTAATGGATAAAATATTCGGCAGAGGAGTAAGGAAGGGAAGCTCAGCAGGTGCCATGAAGCGCACTAAAAGTCGTCGTCGTCGGCATGCACCGAAGAAGATTCGTCAACGAGCATCTCGAAAAACCAAGAAACCAGCTCGTCAAGTTCGCTCCAAAGGCCGCAGGGCACGAGGAATAAAGAAACAAGGAAGGGCCTTGTTCAAAAAACTAGGACATCGTGCCCTCGACGAAGCTTCATCGTTCCTGTCTGCACCTCGTAGATCCCTAACCCGTCCTGAAACTCCATTTGCTCAAAAAATTCGACAGAACATTAACAGTGCAGGACCGTCTTCTATGAGTTCCGCTCACATCGGTCCATCCTACAACATCTGATCATGGACTTTATCTCGCTCCTTGGACAGGAAATCGGGAGGAAGAAAAAGACTAGTCCCGTAAGGAACGACGATGTTCCGACCACGGCCACTGCTCGACACGGGCTGCACATTCCTGGTCTTCAGTTCGAGTCTAAGGATTGGTTCACGGAAATCATTCCTGCTCTGAAATCCTGGGGTCAAAACGTATTGTTTCTGGGACAGAGCAACATGGGTAAATCCTACTTTCTCATCAAGCTCCTGAAACGTGTGCAACCTGAGCGTATAGTTGTCATCTCCAACACGCCGGCCGATCAGTATCGTCTCCCAAGCCTCAAATCCTTCAAGCATTACAGCACCATGCCCGAGTGTATCGAAGACATGGATCTCCAGCCTAACACCTATGTGATCATTGATGACATCAGAGTGATGGGTTTGAAGCACGGCAGTCAAAGAGAGTGTCTCTACAAGTTCTTCACCATGTACAGTCATCATCATAAGTTGAACGTGTTCTTTCTCTCTCAGAGCTTTGATAACATTAAGGACATGAAGATCAATGCAAACTTTATGTATCTATTTCGCTTCACTGATAAAAGCAATATCAAGCGTTATCTCAATACTCTGTTTGGTGGTCTGTGCACGAAGTCATCCATTATCTTTAGATTGTATGAGAAGTTATTGGCGGTGTGTCGCAGACCTATCCTAACCATTGATTGCTCTTCTAATCAGTACTACACGTATTGCGAAGACACTGCATTAAAGGTGACTTTTGAATAAAAACCTCGTTGATGTGCGTGTTTAGCCGAAAAGTTAGCCGAAAAGTTAGCCGAAAAGTTAGCCGAAAAGTTAGCCGAAAAGTTAGCCGAAAAGTTAGCCGAAACATTGAAAAAAAAATTCCAATCATGAATAAGAATGGAGCATCTTACGGTGAAATTCTCAAATGGGCTACCGAGCAGTATACAGAGGGTGGGGTCCAGAAAGGGATCCTTCTCGATACCCAAGCGTAAAAGGTTGCAAACCTTGCAGTTTATGTCGAAACATCCTCAACACATCCTCAAGAAGAGAGTAAATTCGTGGGAAGTTCTCGGTATACCACCACTCATGCGGCAAAAAGGAGGTAATAACTACAATACCTACTTGAAAAGCGTCAAGAAAGTTCTTTCCCAAGTGCCAGATCACAGTTTGAGCACCTCCACCCTGTTGGAACTGCAAGCTGATCCGCGAGTAAAGCGTCTATATGACACCCAAAAACAATCCCGATCACATCAGTTACCCGTCTGTGAGAAATGTGATTGCATCCAACATACTCAACTATGATTCCACTACCGATCAAGTTCGCGATTCCGTTGCAGATGTCAGGAAGAAGAGAAAGGCACCTTTAACATCAGTGCCTTTCAATCTATTACAAGACCACGAATTTGACCGATGGATCCTACAAATCCTGGACAGTTTCCTCCGACATACAAATATACCGGCAACCTTTTTGAAGAGCAACTATTTCACAAGCCGATCACAACTGCTGCAACTCTACGATGAAGATCGACTGAGGTTCAGGAGTCGGGTGGAAGCGGCTGCGGATGCCCTGAAGACGCAGACGATGAACGACTACACTACTCTGGTCAACGAGACGAATCGCATCTACATGTCCAGGTACCCGTTTGCAACCATAGCGGGTGCGGTGGGAATCCACAAACATGTCGATGGATTCCTTCGATCAGAACGAAAGATTCATGAACTAGCCACCCTAGTGCTAGCTGTACCAGGATCGCAGCTCAAGTTTCAAGATCTCAACGATATGACTTCTACGTATGGTAGAACAACTGAAGCAAAATTGATCCATCCCGAGCATTTCATGATCAGAGCACAAAAGGTGATGGTGGACGATGCATCATTCATTCAAGAGGTTCTGAAGGATAAAAGCAGGATCACTCGTATCATCAAGGATATCCTGAGTGGACGTTCAATGTGATCACGTGCGCGAAAATTTTCAGGCTATGATCAAGAATGGACTACCCTCTCAGCAGTGCCGACATCAAAGGAAGATTGAATGGTGTTGGAGGGTTCGTGGGGTGTACAAGTTACGACCTCTTACCACCCTTGAACAATGGAGACTTTTGTATCGTCAACACCGACAACGTTCTACCGGTGTACGATGCACCGGAAGGTGGACATCATTGGTTGACCGTGTGTCGCGAGCAAAACGTGATCCTGGTTTTTGACAGTTTCGGACGCAGTCTATACACTATGGAGCAAGATTACACTGAACCTGCACTGTGCGATTTCTTTAAAGAAGCCTATGCAGACTGTAAGATCATCACCAACACCCAAGCCGTTCAAGACAGAAGCACAGCAGTATGTGGATGGTATGCCATATTGATGGGAAAGCTATTTTCCAAATATGGTCTGGATGAAGCACTTCGAATTTTCCGAAGAGTCTTCGATGAGGATGAAAAGCTGGAAAACGATCAACTGGTTCTCAGTTTAGGTGCCTTGCGAGGTGGTGGAGCCTTGTGGGATACGAAAGTGCAAAAAGCACTTCATGATGGAAGACAGAAGAAGAAGTCGCAGTCCACACCATTCCACACGCAACTGGCTAACGAATTGCACAAACCCAGACGAGTGCATTTCAAAAGACGCAAGGTGAAGAGCAGGTCTGTGGATCACATCTGGAGTGCCGATCTAGTGGATATGCAACGGTTTGCCCGAAGCAACAAGAACTACAAATTCCTGCTGACCGTCATCGATCTGTACAGTCGCTATGCCTGGGCAGTACCCCTGAAAACCAAAACTGGCTCTGCTGTCAGGGATGCATTCGACCTGATCCTGAAAACATCGAACAGGGTACCACAAAAACTATGGGTAGACGAAGGCAAGGAGTTCTACAATGCAACAATGAAGCAATGGGTCAAGGATCACAACATCATCATGTACAGCACCCACAACGAAGGAAAAGCCGTGGTGGTGGAACGCTTCAATAGAACACTGAAAGGCAGAATGTGGCGCCATTTCACGGAGAAAGCTACGACACAGTATCTTGACGTCCTTCCTCAGCTTATGGTCAAGTACAACAGCTCGAAACATCGCAGTATCGGCATGAGTCCCACGAAAGCTTCTCTTGATGGAAAACCAAAAGATGCAGACGTACACTCGAAGCAATCACCAGCTAAATTCAAAGTGGGTGATGATGTGCGTTTGGCTGTGGCTAAACGTCATTTCGAGAAAGGGTACACGCCCAACTGGACAGAGGAAGTGTTCGTGGTAAACGATGTCCTACCCACTGTACCCCACACCTATCGTGTTCAAGACCTGATGGGAGAAGTCATTCAAGGACAGTTCTATGGAGCTGAGCTACAACATGCCAGACACACAGGATTGAGATTCGATAAGGTGTTGAAATACAACAAGAACAGTCGGCTCGTCAAATGGAAGGGTTATCAAGACGAAAAATTCCATACCTGGTTAACAAAGAAGGATGTGAATGATCTCAAAAAGTATTAGCATTTCATATGTACAATGTAGCTCATGCTTTGGATTAACGTGAATATTATGAATCGCATAGTATTTACAATGTATTTCATGAGAAGATATGACATATGCTCTAGTATGTGTGGAAATCCCTCAGTGCTTTGGAATATCCTTGTGTCCGAATGCCAGGGTGTTGATACCATCCTCCAGAATGTAACGCTTACTGTCGAATCCACAGAGGGCAATCTTGTGTAGCTCCTCTCCGTGAATGCAATGTCGTCGACTTCGAAGAACATTCATTGTTCTCTTCAGCTGAGACTCCTCGACGAGACATGTTCGATAATCATCGACGGTTATGGTGTTTTTCAACACGCTTCTCTGCACACCTTTGGCACGCTTGCCATTGTCGTCGTTGTCTTCACAGCGGTATGCGTACATCTTGCTCCGCAAACCAATGAACTCCTTGATGGGTTTGCCACCTAGTTCGTCCTTGAACTTCCCTACCACCTTCTTGTTGACCGTGCTGTACAGGTGGTGGGATGGTGAATAGTTGGATGTGTCATAGGCTGTTATGTTGTTTGACATATCGGTGTACAGATCATCCGTTTGAATATGTACGATCAGACTATCAGTATCAGTGTAGAGCAAACGTACATTTTGTCCATAGCGGGGTAGGAGAACTTCATAGTAAAAGGAATACATCAAGTGCTTCGACAGATCGAGGATGGCTGTACCCACATAAATGGGTTTATTGAGAGTCACCTTTGTCCTGGCAAACTCGATTGCTATCAGATCGTTCTCAAAGGCTACACTGCGGATGTACGAAGGTTTGTTGATGCTTTTCTGGAGACGTGGTTTTTCATCCTGTTCACGAATGAGCTTGATGTTTACTCTGTTTCGAACGTTTTCCATGGTCTTGCCATATACAGCATTGTTCATCAACTACGATAAACAGGCATACAAAAAAAAAAAAAGCCAAGAAAAACAACAATAAGAAAACTGTTATCTTCAGGTCATTCACACTTCCAGTACATACTAGATCCCACACTATCGCTAAATACACACACACACACACATGATGTGGAGTACCCACCTTATAGAAGTCTTTCTCGAAATCAGAAGTTGATAGCTTTCTCAGGTCAGTATTAGTGTCGATGTATGGCTTCATCCATGGGTGTTGTGTGAAGGAGAGCACACGATGCACATCTGTAATCTCCACACCCAAGGACACATACTGCTGCAAGTTTCTGTAGTGCAGAACATAGTGCTCTTTCACCAGTAGATTTGGTACCAGTTTCTTCGCTTCCAAACCGGTCACCTACAAGAGGACAGTATAGATATACACAAACCTTAGAAGATTAATACAAGCATATCCACCGGATAGACCATGACTTACCATTAGTTTCTCTGCCATGTGGGTCTGATATGGAGAAAGCATATCTCGTGTCACCTTCATCTTCTCAGGAGCCAACGGATAATCATTCATCATGTCATGCACACCATCTGGAATCCTTAAATCGCACTCCACCATGTATCCCGTCGAAGAGTCCATTGGATGATCGAGTACCGTCTCCAGAAGATCATCCGTCACTGCTTCAAAGCAGAAGTCCGACACGGGCAAGGGTTGAGACATGGCCCATCCATATAGATTGTTCGCATCTAAATATTGGATGAAGCTTGACGGCTCGTCTGGATTGTACTCCGATAGATATCTGTTGTTGGCGGTGGCGTGTCTAGCGGACACCATGCTTATGCCACCTCTTTTGCCATGCTCAATGAAGTTGAACATGTCAATGTCGGAAATGAGATGAAGGGACACCTTCGTCATTTTCAGCAGCGAATCCCAGGCAAATCCCGGTAAGGTGAGGTAATTAGCGGGATCCAATCCATAGGTTGTGTGAGCAGTTCTTCTGAAGTTTTCGAAAACGTCAGCCAACAGCAGCACATCAGTCTCCAGGTAGAGGTCGTGATAGTCTCCTAGATCTTCACAGTCAAACGCAGTCCATACTGTTTGCGCATAGGCATAGTCTTCATCACTGATACCCTAGGGAATAGAAAATGTACACCAAAAAGAAAAACAAATCAACGAACTTATTTTAGTAGTTCGCCCACACAATCAATTATTTAGTATGAAGCTGCAGGAAGCGTTCAAACACATTTTGTCTTATTTTAGTACTTCGAAGTAAGATGGTGAAAAAAGAAAGAGAGAAAGATCTACTATATCTGTCACACTACTCACCGTGTTCGTTAGCGTTGAGTGGAATGCATCCTTGGGTGGTAGACGCGTTTCTTCGAATTGGTCGTACGACCCCATATATTCATACGGGTAGACACCCTTTCGTGTCAACAGTTTGCGTTCATCCTCGTCTGGAAATCGTGCGGATAGAAGGGCGAATGCATCTGGTGGTGTAGCCGAAACCAACCGGTCTAGGGAGGTGTTCAAGAATGCCAGGCTGTCGATGAACTGGAACTGTCTCCATCCGAATGTGACATATTTTTCACTGTTGATGGGAATCACTTTGATAGCACCGAGACGCTTGGTCTGAGAAGAAGAAAGAAAAAGAGGAGACACAGTTTTAAGGTGCAGCTGTAAAGATGAATATCAATCATATAAACGTGAATATGAGTACCAACATAGTAATGATCTTCCTTCTTAGAAAAACATCATGATCCACGCACACGCACACACACACACACACACACACACACACACACACACCACGCATATGTAACGTACCCGTTCTTGTCCTTTCTCGTTCACATACGTAATCTCATCAGTGGACGTTCTCCCAATGGCAGATATGATGTGATGAGAATCGTATCCCTTCAAGTTATGAAAGATCACAGGAATCTTGATCTTGAACGGCTCAATCCGCATGTTCAGGTTACAATGGTTGTGTGCTGCACCACGGTAAGCACCGGTGATGTGACAGTGGTCACGTACACGATCGCTACCCAACGCTTCACCACAGATCCAACAGCAGACTACCGTTTCAAATTCACGTTGCTGACTTTCTGAAATGATCATTTGACCAGCATTACATGCAAGAAGCTCATCACGGATAATCTCCTCCTCTTGCTCAAGTGACAGCAGAAAACAGAACATAGAATCTTCTCCACGGTAGAAGAAACGGTTCGTGACGACGCCATCAGATCGTACTACAATGTACGAACAGGAACAGGCTACATGCTTGTTCTTTTGGAATGTCGAATGACCGATTTTCTTGACAGCGGACAGAGGTTCTATGAAGGCCTCACAATCGGCATAGATCACCTGCATTTGAGAGAGAGAGAGAGAGAGAGAGAGAGAGAGAAGTAGGAATAGCAGCAGGGACAACACCGAGTAAAACAGCGGAAAAGACAGATAGAGAATTAGGAATAGCTGCAGAGACAACACCGAGTAAAACAGCAGAAAGGTGAACAATCAGAGTCAAGAAACATGTGCAGGAAAGAAAAGAAAAAAAGAAAAAAAACAGACCACAGTGTGTTCACCTTGATTAAGTGTTCTACTTACAAATGGGGCTTGAAGCTGCTTGTTCACATTCCTGAACATCACTCTATCGCCAGCCTTTGGCATCTCCACCGTGGCTTCAGGATGTTCACTGCAGTACATCATATGATTATTCAATGCCTTCTCCGTGACGTGTGTTGAGAGACATCTGAAGCAGACGAAATGTGCTCGACGTGCTCCAGTAGCAACAAGACGACTGAATGACTTTATCCACACCCAGTGCTGCACCTCCACGTCATTGCGTTCGTCTTGGATGAGCAATACATTGATGGCGGTCTGCGGTTGGTGAGAAATTCTTAACGGATATATGACTTTCTCTTCATATCCGAAGACGTTGATGTAAAGACCGTCGTTCAGTCTTTCGATGACTGGTATGTCTTCCAGTTTTGCTGGAAACTCGATGCCGCTCACATCCACAGTATCCGCATGTTCTGCGTACGACGATTGACGATATGGATGAGACTTGTCTGCCGAAAATTTAGCAGCCAGTATTGACCATCTAAAGTACGGATGACATAAGACATGGACAGAACATACAGTTCAATCCATACACCATAACACAACACTGAAACCCCACTGCTATACTTACAGTAAACACTTGTTGTCAGTGTTCTGCACGTTAACAATGGCCTTCTTCGACTTCAACTCCGGTGGCAAGGGGATGTACGAACTTCCTCCAAGTACACAATAGCGTGACATTTCGATGTGTAAACAGGAAATCCGTTCAACTACCCAACCTGATCCATGACGAACGAAATCATCAAGACGAGCGTTGATCTGAGCAATCATCGTACTGAGAAGGTCCCTCAGCTCCATGGCGTTGAGCACCAGCGTTGTACTCGATCGGAAGAAGAATGTGTTGGAAACCATTTGTCCTGTAGCAGGATTCAGCTTCTGCATCACCACCTGAACTACCAAAGAACACTTGTACTGACCCCATTGCTCAATATTCTCTTCAAGAAGCAGCTCCAGCGACGGTAGAACATGAGAGAAAAACTTTAGTACATCTGCAAACTCTTGATCAGGACAATAACTAAAGAATTGCAACAGATCAGATGATCTCACTACATCAAAAGACTGACGAGGTTTCTTCCGAAGGGGTTCCATCCTGAGCAGGGGTGGTGGCGGACAACCACACAATGGCTTGACAAGGTACCGAGGACCTATTTTTATAGGGTTTTCGTAATAGTTGAATTCGGAATAACTGGTTGTTTTTCAATTAACCAATCCACTCATCTCCCGCTGGAAACAATTAACCACTTACCGCACTTCCCGCTGAAAACATGTGACCAATTAGCGCACTTCCCGCTGAAATCACGTTCATCCTTTTATCGCGCATTGACCCATGTTCCACACTTCACAGTGAAATCAGTGCTGCAATGATGTACTGTGACGTCAATGCATGAATGCATGATCTGTGCATCTGAGGTCAAGATGAATCCGGTATTCCAGCAGCTAAAAGTTCGAGAAAGAATTGTTGTATGTCGAAAAGAATTATACGAGAGGAAAGCTAGAAAAATTCTACACCTCATGGACCTTTCGATTACGGACATAGATGGAAAACTAATTGACTTATGTCAATGGAAAGATTCCAAACCCGAACCAAAAAAGACACGGCATGTCGCGAGCAACGTTTTGGTTTTTGGCGCGCACCGTGTTCACCGTGTTCTCCAAGGTCGTCACCTTCCCGGAGGCGGGACCCGGCGGGACGGGACTTGGCGGGACCTATAAAACCTGATATAATTTCATTTTTGGTTCACAATTCATTTTTGAGTCCATTGGATGATCGAGTACCGTCTCCAGAATTTCTCTCTCTATCAGATCAAAGATGTCGGCCTGGTCAACCTCCGAACCATATGTAGAGAAGTGGTATTTATTTTCTTGTAGTAATAAAGATGAATTAACCGTTCGGTTACTCACCGATCTGGGCACAGCCTACGAGCTAAGACCCATGCTTCTTCACCCGGATCGGGTGGACTTAACTCCCATGGAGATTGCGGAGTATCTGTGCAGGGTGTCGACGCGCGTTCTCGTGAGCGGTGAGAAACACCAGCGTCTCCCAAAGATCGTCGTTGATGGCGTAGAGGATTATGGATCCTCATCATGGCGGGATACAGGCAGACTGCTGCGCTGCTGGGACGACGGGCGCAGATTGATGTACAACGTGATGAAGGCTGCAGGTGTTCTGGATATTGTCGAAGAGACATTTGCAAATGGTGAGCAGATCGAAGCTCAGGAACTCATCCGTGTCATCAAGGATCTCAATGAGCGCAAGGTCTTTCGAAAAGACGGGGATACACAAGCGACGACGAAATCTGTCCGCCTCTCAGTCATGTCGACGAGGATAACCCGTGTTGTTGTGCGTGTCGGCACGATCGACATTGACGATGAAGGATATCCTAAGAAGATGCCGGAAGTCTCGTGTGATTCTGTAGTAAGCCGGAAGCGCAAGGCCGATGATGACCTGGATGAACCAATTGTGACGATTCAGGCTTCGAACACATCTCCTATCATCGAAGTTTCCAGGAAGCGCTCCTGGGTAGTACCTTCTCAAGATATCTTTGATTGCTAGACTCTCTCTCTCTCTCTCTCTCTCTCTCTCTCTCTCTCTCTCTTCCTACCAGGCGTGAGCCATCCCCTGGGTGAACAAAATGGGTGCTATCTTCTCTCTCTCTCTCTCTCTCTCTCTCTCTCTCTCTCTCTCTCTCTCTCTCTCTCTCTCTCTCTCTCTCTCTCTCTCTCTCTCTCTCTCTCTTCCTACCAGGCGTGAGCCATCCCCTGGGTGAACAAAATGGGTGCTATCTTCTCTCTCTCTCTCTCTCTCTCTCTCTCTCTCTCTCTCTCTCTCTCTCTCTCTCTCTCTCTCTCTCTCTCTCTCTCTCTCTCTCTCTCTCTCTCTCTCTCTCTCTCTCTCTCTCTCTCTCTCTCTCTCTCTTCCTACCAGGCGTGAGCCATCCCCTGGGTGAACAAAATGGGTGCTATCTTCTCTCTCTCTCTCTCTCTCTCTCTCTCTCTCTCTCTCTCTCTCTCTCTCTCTCTCTCTCTCTCTCTCTCTCTCTCTCTCTCTCTCTCTTTTCAAAATGATCCGAAAAATTGAAATTACAAGTCAAAATACTGCAAAACTATGAGTTCTGATTAATATAAAATTGGAAAAAAGTGAGATAACATTGACATTAGAAATAGTAATATTTTAGACATCGGAATGCAATATTATGATGTAGGGCAGGACATAACACCCACCCCTAAAAATCAAAATTAATGATACATGCAGAATTCCAAATCATGACACCATATTACCTTATTGTTTAGGGTAGAGCATAACACCCCAATACATATTTTTCAATAATACCCCCATATTTTATCCGCAAAAAAACCGGGCCAAAAATAATTTTCACCGCAAAAATGGGGTACTATTAGTACCCCATTTTTCAATAATACCCCATTTTTTGGGACCCGGGCGCCCCCTGGCACAGAACCCGCTCGTCCCTTACTGGCGTGTCTAGCGGACACCATGCTTATGCCACCTCTTTTGCCATGCTCAATGAAGTTGAACATGTCAATGTCGGAAATGAGATGAAGGGACACCTTCGTCATTTTCAGCAGCGAATCCCAGGCAAATCCCGGTAAGGTGAGGTAATTAGCGGGATCCAATCCATAGGTTGTGTGAGCAGTTCTTCTGAAGTTTTCGAAAACGTCAGCCAACAGCAGCACATCAGTCTCCAGGTAGAGGTCGTGATAGTCTCCTAGATCTTCACAGTCAAACGCAGTCCATACTGTTTGCGCATAGGCATAGTCTTCATCACTGATACCCTAGGGAATAGAAAATGTACACCAAAAAGAAAAACAAATCAACGAACTTATTTTAGTAGTTCGCCCACACAATCAATTATTTAGTATGAAGCTGCAGGAAGCGTTCAAACACATTTTGTCTTATTTTAGTACTTCGAAGTAAGATGGTGAAAAAAGAAAGAGAGAAAGATCTACTATATCTGTCACACTACTCACCGTGTTCGTTAGCGTTGAGTGGAATGCATCCTTGGGTGGTAGACGCGTTTCTTCGAATTGGTCGTACGACCCCATATATTCATACGGGTAGACACCCTTTCGTGTCAACAGTTTGCGTTCATCCTCGTCTGGAAATCGTGCGGATAGAAGGGCGAATGCATCTGGTGGTGTAGCCGAAACCAACCGGTCTAGGGAGGTGTTCAAGAATGCCAGGCTGTCGATGAACTGGAACTGTCTCCATCCGAATGTGACATATTTTTCACTGTTGATGGGAATCACTTTGATAGCACCGAGACGCTTGGTCTGAGAAGAAGAAAGAAAAAGAGGAGACACAGTTTTAAGGTGCAGCTGTAAAGATGAATATCAATCATATAAACGTGAATATGAGTACCAACATAGTAATGATCTTCCTTCTTAGAAAAACATCATGATCCACGCACACGCACACACACACACACACACACACACACACACACACACACACACCACGCATATGTAACGTACCCGTTCTTGTCCTTTCTCGTTCACATACGTAATCTCATCAGTGGACGTTCTCCCAATGGCAGATATGATGTGATGAGAATCGTATCCCTTCAAGTTATGAAAGATCACAGGAATCTTGATCTTGAACGGCTCAATCCGCATGTTCAGGTTACAATGGTTGTGTGCTGCACCACGGTAAGCACCGGTGATGTGACAGTGGTCACGTACACGATCGCTACCCAACGCTTCACCACAGATCCAACAGCAGACTACCGTTTCAAATTCACGTTGCTGACTTTCTGAAATGATCATTTGACCAGCATTACATGCAAGAAGCTCATCACGGATAATCTCCTCCTCTTGCTCAAGTGACAGCAGAAAACAGAACATAGAATCTTCTCCACGGTAGAAGAAACGGTTCGTGACGACGCCATCAGATCGTACTACAATGTACGAACAGGAACAGGCTACATGCTTGTTCTTTTGGAATGTCGAATGACCGATTTTCTTGACAGCGGACAGAGGTTCTATGAAGGCCTCACAATCGGCATAGATCACCTGCATTTGAGAGAGAGAGAGAGAGAGAGAGAGAGAGAGAGAGAAGTAGGAATAGCAGCAGGGACAACACCGAGTAAAACAGCGGAAAAGACAGATAGAGAATTAGGAATAGCTGCAGAGACAACACCGAGTAAAACAGCAGAAAGGTGAACAATCAGAGTCAAGAAACATGTGCAGGAAAGAAAGAAAAAAAGAAAAAAAACAGACCACAGTGTGTTCACCTTGATTAAGTGTTCTACTTACAAATGGGGCTTGAAGCTGCTTGTTCACATTCCTGAACATCACTCTATCGCCAGCCTTTGGCATCTCCACCGTGGCTTCAGGATGTTCACTGCAGTACATCATATGATTATTCAATGCCTTCTCCGTGACGTGTGTTGAGAGACATCTGAAGCAGACGAAATGTGCTCGACGTGCTCCAGTAGCAACAAGACGACTGAATGACTTTATCCACACCCAGTGCTGCACCTCCACGTCATTGCGTTCGTCTTGGATGAGCAATACATTGATGGCGGTCTGCGGTTGGTGAGAAATTCTTAACGGATATATGACTTTCTCTTCATATCCGAAGACGTTGATGTAAAGACCGTCGTTCAGTCTTTCGATGACTGGTATGTCTTCCAGTTTTGCTGGAACTCGATGCCGCTCACATCCACAGTATCCGCATGTTCTGCGTACGACGATTGACGATATGGATGAGACTTGTCTGCCGAAAATTTAGCAGCCAGTATTGACCATCTAAAGTACGGATGACATAAGACATGGACAGACATACAGTTCAATCCATACACCATAACACAACACTGAAACCCCACTGCTATACTTACAGTAAACACTTGTTGTCAGTGTTCTGCACGTTAACAATGGCCTTCTTCGACTTCAACTCCGGTTCCGGTGGCAAGGGGATGTACGAACTTCCTCCAAGTACACAATAGCGTGACATTTCGATGTGTAAACAGGAAATCCGTTCAACTACCCAACCTGATCCATGACGAACGAAATCATCAAGACGAGCGTTGATCTGAGCAATCATCGTACTGAGAAGGTCCCTCAGCTCCATGGTGTTGAGCACCAGCGTTGTACTCGATCGGAAGAAGAATGTGTTGGAAACCATTTGTCCTGTAGCAGGATTCAGCTTCTGCATCACCACCTGAACTACCAAAGAACACTTGTACTGACCCCATTGCTCAATATTCTCTTCAAGAAGCAGCTCCAGCGACGGTAGAACATGAGAGAAAAACTTTAGTACATCTGCAAACTCTTGATCAGGACAATAACTAAAGAATTGCAACAGATCAGATGATCTCACTACATCAAAAGACTGACTAGGTTTCTTCCGAAGGGGTTCCATCCTGAGCAGGGGTGGTGGCGGACAACCACACAATGGCTTGACAAGGTACCGAGGACCTATTTTTATAGGGTTTTCGTAATAGTTGAATTCGGAATAACTGGTTGTTTTTCAATTAACCAATCCACTCATCTCCCACTGGAAACAATTAACCACTTACCGCACTTCCCGCTGAAAACATGTGACCAATTAGCGCACTTCCCGCTGAAATCACGTTCATCCTTTTATCGCGCATTGACCCATGTTCCACACTTCACAGTGAAATCAGTGCTGCAATGATGTACTGTGACGTCAATGCATGGATGCATGATCTGTGCATCTGAGGTCAAGATGAATCCGGTATTCCAGCAGCTAAAAGTTCGAGAAAGAATTGTTGTATGTCGAAAAGAATTATACGAGAGGAAAGCTAGAAAAATTCTACACCTCATGGACCTTTCGATTACGGACATAGATGGAAAACTAATTGACTTATGTCAATGGAAAGATTCCAAACCCGAACCAAAAAAGACACGGCATGTCGCGAGCAACGTTTTGGTTTTTGGCGCGCACCGTGTTCACCGTGTTCTCCAAGGTCGTCACCTTCCCGGAGGCGGGACCCGGCGGGACGGGACTTGGCGGGACCTATAAAACCTGATATAATTTCATTTTTGGTTCACAATTCATTTTTGAAAAAAAAAAAAAATGATCCGAAAAATTGAAATTACAAGTCAAAATACTGCAAAACTATGAGTTCTGATTAATATAAAATTGGAAAAAAGTGAGATAACATTGACATTAGAAATAGTAATATTTTAGACATCGGAATGCAATATTATGATGTAGGGCAGGACATAACACCCACCCCTAAAAATCAAAATTAATGATACATGCAGAATTCCAAATCATGACACCATATTACCTTATTGTTTAGGGTAGAGCATAACACCCCAATACATATTTTTCAATAATACCCCCATATTTTATCCGCAAAAAAACCGGGCCAAAAATAATTTTCACCGCAAAAATGGGGTACTATTAGTACCCCATTTTTCAATAATACCCCATTTTTTGGGACCCGGGCGCCCCCTGGCACAGAACCCGCTCGTCCTTTACTACTGCCATGCATACGCAAACGCGCCCAAATGGAAATTCCAGCATGTTGGAATTTACAGCGCGTATCAGGCGCGTACCAGCCTACATGCCATTCACTTTGATTGGCGGGGTCAACAAATTAGTACTCGAAGGTGTCGCACGCGCTAAATACGACACAGATTGCTGTTTGTAACAAAGCTTAGCAAAAGTACATAGCCCCCAGAGTGTGCAACGCCTGTTCCAGCCCTGCATAGTCCCTGATACCAAGAGTCCATAACCCCCAGAGTGTGCAACTCGTGATCCTTCTCAGCACAAATCAGTGCCGCAACGAAATCCAACCTTCATACGTCATGTAGTGAGTAGCGGATGTACCAGATATGCACAGGGCCCCATCCGCCAATGCTTGACTATGGACCGGAAGACGCAATGTTTGGATTTCGTTGCGCCAGACCCCAACCTGGAGTTGCACACTCTGGGGGGTTATGGACTCTTGCTGATACTGATAGGGTCTTGGTTGAGCCAGGTTTTACAAAATTAGGACAGGTATACCATGGCAAAATGTGTGGAGAAGCAGATCCCAAACCCAGGTTTTGGAGATTTAAAGTGGGTTTTTGATCCTCAATTCGGCCCAAATTGGACTTTCAAAAGCCAGCGGGATTGTTTCCGATGAATGGACTGTAGTAAAATCCCTTAATTAATCAGGCTGCGAAAAATTCGCCGAAAATGAGACTGATCGAAAATCGCTACGCTTTTCGCCGATTTTGGAGGGTTCCTTTGACAATCGTCGAAAATCGACCAAATCTTCTAATAATTATTTCACAAATATTGAGGCCAACATGCCAACAGTTCTTTTAGCCGGTTTTCCAATATATTCCAGTTTTCCAGCCGATTGTCAAACAATCAACTGATTTTGCAGTCGAATCTGATGTATTTTGGACCCGAGCGAAAAGCCGAACAAGCGGAAAAAACGGGCCGGTTTGGGGAAAGCCTACACAAGGGACCTTTCCGAACCTGAGCTTTCGAAGTTGGAAGGTTGCTGGTTTGTGCCTTGGAGAAGTGTTGGACCTAGGTGTCAGGTCGCTGAATGTCTCAGTACTCCCGGCCTTGTCAGTTTTGTGCCATTTTGTCGCACCCGCTGACTGTATAAAGATCTGGTTACGTTGGTGGACAGTTATCATAATATAACAAACAAACAAAAAACTAACTAACTAATACTGCGACAAGAATACCATGTAACAGGAGATGAGCCCTCGCCACGGAGAACGGTTTTGGGAAGCAAAGATGCAATGCGCTTGAGAAAAGCCAAAGCCTTGCCTCGACCACCCGTGCCACAAAACAGCAATGGTGCTGGGATTCATGCTGCCATGGAGAATCATAATCAGTAAATTGATGTTGCTGTTTTTTTCTTCCTTCTTTCTTTTTTCTTTTTGGTTTCCCGTTCCCGGGGCCTTCTATTCGGTGCTCTCTGTAGTTGTACTTCTGTACTGTTTCATGTTGAGCTACATGTATCCGGATTCCAATAAACACCAAAAAAAAAGAACAAAAGAAAGAAAAAAACAGTCACATGTACCCATATATTTGGCGTTCCCTCTGAGCTACCCAAACAAATATTGTGCTTGACCGCATTACGGCACGTTCGGTATCTCCGCCTTCTCCGTTAAATCATATTTAAACAAAACCGTTCTGCGCTCCGGCTCTCCGCCTTCTCCGCGAACACAAGAAAACTCGAGGAAAACAAACAAATTCAAGAAGCAAGAATGACAAGAAAGGCAGAAAGTATGAGAACATTATATTGTTATAAGCCAGCAAAATTTACCCCAGATCTCCAGTTTCAATTTCCAAACAACCCAGCACGGGAGTCTTCTGCAAGCTGCGCACTCTGCTCAGGCACAAGTCTGTGGGCGGGGGTATGCATATCACGAACGGCATACTGAGAGAAGTGGCACCCATGTTCATGCAGTCCCTGTGCCAACACTAGTTTCCGGCTCGGGCAGCTACCTAGTGACTGGAAGTTGGCTACAGTCTTACCTATCTACAAAGAGAACGGCAAACATGCGTGGCCAGCTAACTACAGCCTACAGGCCTATCTCTGTATGATGATGTTGTTGTTGTTGCTGCTGCTGCTGGTGCTGCTGCCGTGGCTGTCGTTACAGTCCCTGTCGTTGTCAGGAAATGTTTGCTTGTGCCATTCTTCAACCAACCGACTTCATTTGTCACATGACTGACTCACGGCTGCCATCCAGAGCACACAAGAAGTCCATCGAACCGTCC